CTTATTTTAGACTTCCAGGCAAAATCTCACAGAACATGTAGGCTACGAATTAAGGGAAAGTTTTTTAACTATAGCCTTATTTGTGCACATGCCCCAACTGAAGATAAAAGTAATGAGGAGAAAGACTCCTTTTATGATGAATTGGATAAAATATAATGAATGTCCAAAAAGGGATTGTAAAATAATCATAGGGGACATGAATGCTGAAGTGGGGAATGAGGATACATATAGATCGGTTATTGGAAAACATAGCCTACATAAGAAGTCAAACGATAATGGGATGAGTTTAATAAATTTTGCTTCCTCGAGAAACATGTTAGTAGGTAGTACAATGTTTAATCACAAGGATGTACATAAACGAATCTGGAAATCCCCTGATGGAAATGCGTTTAACCAAATTGATCACATCCTAATACATGTAAGACATTGTTCAGACTTAACGAATGTCAGGAGCTACAGGGGGGCCAACATTGACTCTGATCATTACTTAATAATATCAAAGATTAGAAGTTGAATATCTAATGCAAGGAAGATACATGGATCCCAGGCTAAGAAACTGAATTGTGGAAAATTGGTGGAACAAGGAGTTGCAACCAGATATACTGGATTAATTAGTGAATGCCTGGCAGGTCTCTCTGATAGTGAGGATGTCAGTGAAGCCTGGAGGGATCTCAGAGATGTTATTATAAATGCTGCTGGTGCAGTTTTAGGAAGAATGGAAGGATAAAATATAAGAATTGGTTTGATGGAGAGTGTGAGCAAGTGACAAATAAAAAAAAACAGGCATATAAGAGAATGTAGCAAAGGAACCATATTAAAGGGGCAGTGGAAGAATACCGTGAAGCGAGAAGGAAAGAAAAAAGATTGCATAAAAAGAAGAAAAGGGAATATGATAAACAAGAAATGATTAAATTGGAGCATTTAAGAAGTTCAAAAGAAATTAGAGCGTTTTATCAAAAACTAAACAAGAGTCGAAAGGACTTTCAACCTAGAACAACCTTATGTAGAGATAACGAAGGCATGATATTGAGTAGTGATGAAGCAATATTGGAAAGATGGGGGCAATATTTTGAGGAATTATTAAATGGTAATGCCTCTGAACAAGCGGAAGGTACGACCATAGACTGGAATCAAGGAAATTATGAGGCTGAAGAGCCAGCGCCGACCATAAAAGAAGTAGAACAAGCTATAAAAAACTGAAAAATACTAAAGCTCCAGGAATGGATCTAATCACGGCAGAATTAGTGAAATTTTCAGGCCAAGAATATGCTAAGCACTTACATCAGCTTATAGTTAAGATATGGATAACTGAAATAATCCCAGAGGAATGGAACTTAAGTATTGTATGCCCTATCCATAAGAAAGGCGATGTCGTGGTATGCTCTAACTATAGAGGAATTAGTCTGTTGTCCATAGCATATAAAATAGTTTCCAGCATTCTGTTTAACAGACTCTCCTCCTTTGTGGAAGGCATAATTGGGGATTACCAGTGCGGGTTTCGTCAAGGAAGGATCAACTAACGATCAGATTTTCACTATGCACCAGGTCCTTTATTCCATAGATAGAGATAGCCTTTTTCTGGCAATGGAAGAGATGCACATTCCATGGAAGTTAATGGCCTTAGTCAGAGCCACTATGAGAAAGGCCCAGTGCCAAATTAAGATTCAGAATATGTTGTTCAGCCCTATAATAACTAGAAATGGAGTTCGACAAGGGAATTCCCTAGCCCACCTTTTGTTCAATATAGCATTAGAGAAGGTAGTTAGAGATGCAGGCATCAACACAAGGGGGACTATATTCTATAAGTCAGTTCAAATTTTGGCATTTGCAGATTATATTTATATAATTAGTAGAACACAAAAATCTATGAAAGAAGCTTTTCTTAATTTGGAAAGAGCAGCAAAAAAGACGAATCTACAAATTAACCAAAATAAAACAGAGTACATGCCGGTAACCAAGTAAGACTGTGCTAATGGGCCTGCATATATTTAAATTGGCTGATATAAATTTGAGGTTGTATGTAGTTTTACTTACCTTGGATCAGAAGTTAACTATAAAAATGACATCAGTGATGAAATAAAAAAGCATGTACTTGCAGCAAATAAATGTCTCCATGGCCTTAGGAAACACCTGAAATCGCAACTAATACCCAGGAAAACCAAAACTACGATGTACAGGATGGGGCACAGAAACTTCCTTTATTTGGAGACGAATAAAAGAAAAATTATTGCTGATAGACAAAATTTATGTTTAGCTAATGAAAGAACATACTTTAAAGTTTTAAATCATGTAGTTTTAAACAAAATATCTTAAAGGTGGTGGCCACCGTTCTCTATGCACTGATGCAACCGTTTTCTGAAGTTCCCCGCTGCACGTTCCAATATGTGCACTGGAATTTGGGCTACTTCCTGCCGAATAACATTCTTCAGCTGAAGCAGGTTTGTGGGGCGATGTTTAAAAACCTCTGCCTTGAGGTATCCCCAAAAAGAAAAATCACAGGGCGTTAGATCATGTGAGTGCGCTGCCTACGGGATGTCACCTCGAAGTGAGATGAGCCGTCCGGGGAACTTTGCCCTCAAAACTGTCATTGAAGCTCGGGCTGTGTGAGCCGTGGCACCATCCTGTTGAAACTAGACATTTCCTAGATGCATTTCTTCAAGAGCTGGTTTGAAAAAGTTTTTAATCATGTCCACATACCGCTGTGAATTGACAGTAACTACATGATTGTCTTCTTCAAAAAAAATAAGGGCCAATAACTCCAACTCTCGAAAACGCACACCATACTGTCACCTTATCACTGTGAAGTGGCCTTGCATGGAGCTCACTGGGATTGTTACCACTCCAATATTGCATATTCTGCTTGTTGACATATCCATATAGATGAACATATGCCTCATCACTAAAGAAAACAAGTGCGTCAGGGGGTAAAGTTTCCAATAACGTTTCGCACACTGTTATTTGGTTCTGGAAACCATGTGGTGACAATTCTTGCACAGCAACCATCTTATAGGGATGGAACTGAAGATGTTTGTGCATAATTTGGCGCATTGAATGATTGGATATGTCTAGGGCGACTGCAAAAATCTCAAAATCGACTGTCGAATTGCTTCCACATTTTCTGGCATCGTAATGGTCCGTTGTTGTCCTGATGATTTTTTCACCATACTCTCGGTTGTTCTAAAGTTCTCTACCCACAAAACAATCGATTTCCGGTCGGGAACCAGACCTCTGGGCTTAATTCTGAAGTGAGTATGGAACGCGCGCTGCTCACTCGTCCACCTGTTTCCTATTGAGGGGTATTAGACAGAAACTTCCGCGACTGCTGTGTTCGCTGAGCCTATCCCCACTTTTCTGCGATCTCCTCTCCCTTCACAAAAAGGAAGTTTCTGTGCCCCACCCTGTATAAAGTACTTATAAGATCAGTGCTATCTTATGCCTCTGAGACCTGGTCACTGTCAAGATCGGATGAAATACTATTAAGTATATTTGAAAGGAGGATCCTGAGATATATCTTTGGACCAGTGGAAGAAAACTGAATATGGAGGAAGAGGTATAACCATGAGCTATTCAAACTATTTAATGAACAAAACATTATTGGATTTATAAAGGTGAAAAGCTTGAATGGGCTGGACACATAATACTTAGCAGCAAGAACAGAACGATTAATACTAAACCAGAAGAAAATAGGAAAGTGGGAAGACCAAGATTGACATGGGAAGAATGTGTGTGGCAGGATATAAGAATTTTGGGTGTAAAGAACCGGAGGTATGTAGCATCGAATGGAGAAGAATGATGAGCAATCCTGAGGAAGGCCAGGGCTCACAAAGGGCTGTCGTGCCAGTGATGATGATGACGATGATGCTGAATAAAATAATGTACACATGTGCAGAAGGATAACAAAGCATTAGAAATAATCGACCAAGTTCAGGAACCAATTTGGCAGTATTAGTTCTATTTGTTGTTTAAATTCCTCCAGATTCATGTGACAGTCCTTCCTATCCTCTACTGCTAGTCAAAATTTAACAGCAGTCCTGCATGTATTGTAAAAAATTCAACTTCTCTTTCGGCCATCTGCCTTAGCCTCCTATGTCCTAGACTGTCTGTAAGAGCAGGAGAGTATCTGCCAGATGACAGATCTATCTTCTCTTCCAACAGAAACCAGATATGCAGATAATATGACCAGCCATCCACCTGTCTTACTTTGTTAACTTTTTATTAAACAATAACCACAAAGCACAAGTGGATCATTACAGCCAAGGAACAAAAATTACAACAAACTACTGTTGCATTAGAAACTTTAATTACTTGAGTATAATATTGACAGCAATGGAAGTCTATGCATTAGGAACATGAATATTAGGGCCGGGCACGCAATAGCGTAGTTGGTTGAGACACTATGCTACAAGCCGGAAGGTCGCGGGTTCAAGTCCTGATGAAGTCATTGGATTTTTTTTCAATTGACCTAATCCTTCCGGCCACACTATGGCCCTGGAGTCGACTCAGCCTCTAACATAAACGAGTACCAGGAATTAATTAAATAACTTCCCTGGGGAGTAAAGCGCGGCCGGCGCGTAAGGCTGAGAATATTACCGCCATCTTTGAGCCGATTGTCTAGATAATGTGGGACCCTCAACGTCTCACAACCCTATGGACCTTCATGGGCTCTTACAGGGATAGCTTTACTTTACATGGTTCATTGCCTCACAAGAGATCATGGATTCACGCATGGACTGCTTCAGATGTTCTGGGGCTTACATCAAACCCATCAGCATCATGTACAGATACTACTACTGATTTGCAAATATGATGTCATCCTTTTTATTTGTATTTAAAAAATCCTTCCTAATTTGTATTTATATTTAACAAATCCAACTAAAAGAACTGAATGTGGTAGTCAAGTTTGCTTCCAGGAATGAAATAATTCTTGAAAAAGCACAAAATACTTTTATTCTCTCATGTAAAATATAACTCACTGTGTGAAGAATAAATATGCATCAGGAGGTGGGAAAATGGTTTTTATATCCATCTAAAACACACATACATGAACTTTATTGGAGCTTTATACTGTGAAACAAATTAATAACCTGTACATTTGACATCTTGAAATTCTATGCTATGCAGAATGGGCAGCAATGTTACTATACATGAATTCAACAAGAAACTGTTCATGGTTCTGGTGTGGCACCTGCTTGCCTGGCCAGGTTATCCAGCTCTTCTGTAAGGAGAAATAACCACGTTATTAGCATTTTAGTTGTAAGGGAAAAATGGAGAAGGAACTAACTCCACAGTCACTCAGCTGGTCAAAAAATTGCCTGTCTTTCTGGATCCTGAAAGTTCATCAGTATATTCATACGAGTCTTCCACTGCTGCAGACTGCTAAACCTCTGAACATCATTAAAACATTTTCCTTTGGGATCCATTCCAAAATTATCCTGAAGATGGAGGTAACATGAGCAAAAATAAGGGAGGTATCTATACCGCTTGGCCAGATGAACCTGATCTTAAAGATTCTAAATATTTCAAGAGTCAGGTTTTGACAATGAATATGCTCAACTGATGAATCTTCAGGTTCCAACAGTAAATCATATATTTATTGCGATTATCAATATTTTGGACCAACTGAATTGCAGACTGTTTGATGATGTAGTACTAACTGGAGACAGAATGTGATGACTGCTATAAATGTAAGTCAGGACAGATTAGAAAGCAGAGTCTATGTGAAGGTTGTATGTACCTGGACAGCCTAAGCAAAACTAGAGAAAATGTCACCAGGAGAGTTGGTTCTCAGTGATTCCAAGTGACTGCCTCCATATACAAATCACTCATGCTAATTTGGACTCAACCATCAGGTATTTGCAGCACACACATTTCTTCCAGTAATGGTAAAATACAAAAGGTGCACCTTTCCTTGCACGTAACAATGAAGTCTGAATTTTAACTGAATTCTGAATGAATTCACAAAGGCATCCTAACATCGTCTACACAAAGTGGAAAATGCATATTAAATTAGATATGATACAATAAGAAACAATGTCAATCTATGACACACATTGCAGCTCACAAAGTTCAACATTTTAAAAAATTCACAAAGCTTCAAACCTGGTTCCAATAAATGAAACTGCCTGCGTGAAAATGTGCACTAAAAATTTGGCTGATGACAGATTTTGCAACACTTCCAAGTTCAAAATTAATTACTGTTTAAGAACATTTGAAGTTTAATATCTAAAACTGTATTAGCCCACCTTTAGCTAATCTCTTTTTTTCTTCTACTAATTTTGCATCGCGAATTTCCTTCTGCTTTGTTTCAATTTCTCGTAATGCAGCTTCTTTCTTCGACAGGGATCTATGGCGAACAGCTCCCCATGTAATGCCAACTGCTAGGAAACTCCATCTACCAAACTAAAAGGAGAATACAAGAACACTGATGAATCCATTTCCACAAAATACATGTCATTCCTATACGTGGTTCAGCCACTTTTGACTTCCATGAGATTCTGGTCAACATAACATACTTCGCCATCCTATGTTGTTGACTTTCTCCGTATGTCATAGCTGATAATATGCAAGATTTTGGGCAATTTGCTTCCTTGCATTATTGTTAATACTTAGTGGTCAGCATAGAACAACACTGATTATGCCCCAGAGTAAGGTTGGCATTTTTTCTTTAGTGTACAACATTCATTTTTTTTGCAGTACTTTTGATTTGTACACCAAAAGGATGATTGTGCAAGTTCATAGAAAAAACACCAGATAATTTGAAAGATTTCAAAATAGAGACCACATGCTACCACTATCCTGGCCATGCTGGTAACTTCACATCAAAAGAACTCAACCTCTTGGAATCCTTTTTAAAGTCCCCCTTTCATCACTTCTAATTTACTTTCGAAATAGAAACTTTAAAAAAATGACTGCTAAAAAACCTCAGAAAACCCTATAAAACTCCAAACTGTAGACCTAACTGTACAGAGATCTTTCATTACTTCCTGCTTATGTGATGGTGGAACTTTATTTTTAAATATACTACTTTGACCTGATACTAATAGACAATTCGTTTTAATAAAAACGTACAGCAGACTGGATGAAGAATAGTACATTGAAAATAAAACAAAAGTTACAATATACAGTGGACTAATACTGTGACACGCCACAACATAATTTTCATTACACAACTCTTTAGTTAATTCTTCACCTACCCTTATTAGAGGCGAAACTCTTAGCGGAGGTGGGAGATCAGCCATATTTTCCCCTGTAGATCCCTGTAGTGCTCCCCACCCTCCCCACTCCCTAACCTCCCAGCGCTCCCTTTTGCTTTCAGCAATATACGTACTATATATGCTATATATCACGGACTACTAAATGTTATTTATATCGGAAACTACTGTGACTATTGGACCTACTATCATCTAAGGTGCCGTGTGTTTACCGTATGTCACTAATGCTAAATTCATATGCCTGTGATCGAGTTTAATTACTTAACTAAAATATGTTGATTATTACTTAATCGTATGGATATCCAGGATGAATAAAATGGATGAATAAGTCATTTAAAGTCGATGGCTTTGAGAATCATGGCCCACTCCGAATCACAAATCTCCATAGTGGCGGAGTGCCATAGAGCTGTGAATTATGGAACGAAATTATCTACTCTCTGAACGTGTTATTCTCCAAGTTGGCAGTAAGGATGCTGATACTCTGTGTCGCTCTGTGTCCTCTGTGGCGGTCGGAGTTGTATTGAGGGGGTTGGGGAAGGGAGTGATCTGTGTTGCTCTGTCGTTGCCGTGGTTACAACATACAGTCGTCGGCAGTTGACCCGTTCCTTGACTTGATGTAGCAATATGGCGTTAATATGGAGTGTTGTAAGTGTTTCGTGTTCAATACTTGTGATGCCGTTCTTGATGTTCCTGTTAGCAATAATTTTTCTGGCTTCAATCGGGAAATCTCTAGGAGTTCGAAGATTATACGTGAAAATGTTGCTGAAAATATTTGAGGTAAGCGTTAACAATTAAAAATTAGATGGCCAGTAACTGTTATTTAAATTGTAACGTTATAGAACATTTTCTGTGACACCAAGAAAAATTATTACTGAATTAGAATATTTCTGTACCATTCATACAGAAACTAGCTTATTTTCTGTAATTATCCTCAGTAATATAGAAACTGATTACTTCATTTGAACCAATGCATGGTGTAAATACCACAAGTTTTAATGTGACCTTCTTCTGAGAATATTGATGGATTTATACGGTTCTTAGTTCTTCAGGTTGTATATGAAGTATCTCAGAAAACGTTGAAAATATTACAGTTTTTGGCCAGAGTTGAAGACTATAACCAACTACATGGAGCTGAGTTCTGCTTGAGAAACAGCCTGTTGCTTAGCTACTCAAGAATTTCCCGACATTTTGTGGAACGTAGAAGTTCATTGCTAGTTCACGAGAGCCCTCCACTGGCCCCTATCAAGACCTAGATCAATCCAGACCATACCGCCCCATCTTTCCCTAAGATCCAATTTAGTACATATTATCCTTCCACCTATGTCTAGATCTTCCTATTTGTCTCCTTCCTTCTGGATTCCAACCAAAAACCTATATACATTTCTTTTCTCCCCATACATGCTACATGCCATGCCAATATCATCCTCCTTGGCTTGATCATGATGATCTCCAATAATTTCGTGTACATTGAATACATGTTCTAGTTCCTAATAGAAGCTGTCCTTTATATCATTGGTTTTATCCTCTGCTGGGGTGTGAGCATTCAGAACTGTGATATCACACCAGGGCCTCTTAGTGTTATGTAAGACATCCTAACACTAATAAACTCAACCCTCTTAACTGTTGATATGATTGTTTTCATTCATTCATTCATCAGTAATCTGTCAAGATGACAGGTCCACAGTCTCTTTCAAAACAGTTCCTCCACTTAATGCGATCTGGAGCTTTATCCTTCAAATGAGAATATCCTCTTCTGTCACCAAGGTCATCCAGCATCTTCTTACATCTTCTGGTCACTTCTATCTGCCCCTCTATCTTTCCTTCAGTAACTTCTTTTAGAAGGCAGTTACTGCATAAGATATGACCATGTACCAAAAAATTCTGTCTCTAAGTCATGATTCTCATTGCCTTTTCATAGAAAAATCTATGATCACCTGATGGTTTAGTGCCACCCCTATTCCATTTGACCTCCTGTACTCACAGTATGACTATAAATTTTCAAAATGCTGGGCATGAGACATATGTTACTTTTCAGTTGTGGCTGAACTAAAATGTGAATATAGTCTACCTTTTCCTTGTTCGGAGAGTAACTTGATTGATTGATTGATTGATTGATTGACTGACTGACTGACTGACTGACTGACTGACTGACTGATGGCTGGATGGTGATGATGATGATGATGATGATGATTATGTGAACATTTGAGAGTTTCATGTGTGGTTAGAGGTTCAAAACCAAATTGATAGTTTTAAGGAGAGAATATCAGAATCTCTGTCCTTAGATCTATTAGAAAATGGTGATATAGTGGAGTGCCAATTACATACAGTAACTGGGGACAGATTTGGTTTGTAGTATTGATCCACTATCTGTATTGTAATTGACTTTTGGTGAACTGTACTGTTGATTGGAATTGTTTTGATATCTGATATGGGTGGACTTCATTTGGATTCTTGTTTGGATGTTGAACGATAGTCCGATAGATAGGTGGTTGTATATTAAATTAACTCGTATATACCCATGTGTATTTTCAGTAATGGACTGAATATTAAAGTTACTTAAATATATGCATGAGTGTGAGTGTGCGTGCATATGTGTATATAATGTACATGTAAGCTTTCTAAATACATTGAAACTTTAGTTACATTAGATTAGTGGACATGATAGGATCCAGACTAGTGTGTAGTATATTGAAGGTTTCAGAGTGGGGAAATAGTTTGCCTACAGTAATAGGGCAGTATTAACACATTGAAGACCGGCGATTTAAATATTTAAATCACCCTGGGGCTTCCATTATTAAACCTACTATCCTAACTTGTGCACCGTTCACTTTAAAAATTAATATAAAATTTCCTAATTAATTTTATGAACTAAAATTTTTGGAGAACACTTACCAGTGTTCCTAAAAATACTCGAGGGTGTGATATTTCTGGAAACATTCCTGTGAAGTGGCTTTACACAAAACGTGCAAATGTAGACATACTCCTTTTTTTTTGTGAACTGTGCAAACACGGCATTGCCTAGAAGGATGCTTCCCCTTGGAATGTTCACTCTTCACAAGTTTCACAAGGGTATGTTTCCTCATATCACCCGAGAGTCGCCCTGGGGGGTCCACATGATTCCTGCATGGGGTGGGAGTTGATGGGCCTGGTCACATTAAGTCTGTGTCTGACTCTGGTTCTGCTGCCGCCATCTGGTCTGTAGACCAGGCCTTTGCCATATTCATCAGAAATGCTTTGTATTTCAATTTCAAATCAGGGTTTAGATTTTTGTGATTTTTTTGGATTTTTTACTGTCCCCCACAATGTTATTACCCCCATTATTGTCAGAGCTACTGTCACTTTTACTGTCTGTGGCCACAATTCTTTGTTCTCCCCTGTCACTGCTGCTCTCTGAATCACCATGACTATGCGTCTCAAGGCAGGCCAGCTAGCTCATCGGAGAAGAATTTGTCCCTGTCTATACCCCACCACTAACTACTGGCTGATACATACAGCTCGAAGAGCAGCAAAGCATTTTCGTTTATAGTTGGTTAAGAAAACAGCATGTTCAAGTTACTGACAAGTAAGCAAACATTTCAGAGTTTTGTTACGCAGTTGCGTGCAACTTGGGTGGTGCCAGAGCAAGGTGTAATGTGTTACAAACTAATGTGTCCTAAAATCATGATATCATGCAACCAGTCCGCCACGTTTAAAAGCCAAAAACTTGATATCATGTGACTGGTCCTCAGTGTGTTAAATTTAAGTAGTGATTGCGAAGGTTAACACTGGAAACACTGTATGTGCTTCTGGCAGTGTATATTGAACAAGCAGTTTCCTGGTTTGAGTTATTTTGGGTGGCATCATAGATTCATTGATGGTCATGAATTACTGGAAACAATTTATGCTGCTGACAGCTTGCAATACTGTGAAACGAGTGCAGAGAGAGGCAGGTGCAAGAAGTCATATGTTCTGATTGTTGTCAGATGATAGAGATCATTGCAGCAAAAGATGGACTTCCAGCTGTAGTTGCCATGCCATCTATAAGGATCTGATTATTTATTGTGTCTTCCAACATGCTGTACCAGATATGCCGATGCAGCAGTAATGTAACATGAGGATCCTTGTGGCAGATAATGGTCCACTTTTCCCATGAAAAATTGTCATAGGTGACAAAATCTGACATTTCCTGTACAAACTCCAAAGTAAATAACAAATGATAAGTCTTCATATGGAAATCATCATTGGTGCTGAAGTTTTAGCAGGATTGCGTGAAAGGGAAGGTGGTGTTGAAAGACATTTATGACTGGCATGATATCTTACACCATGAGCATCCCTGAGCATGCTTTGGTTAACAAGGAGAAGTACAGGGACATTTTTAAAGCTGTTGATAAGTTAACGGCACTGCACTTCACTGGGACCGGTGCATCGCCGGCTGCAAAGCGTACACAAATTTTGCTGATGACTCAGAATGCTTGACGGCCGATGACATTTGGAATGAAGAAAAATAATTAACTTGTATACCTCAGCATGGTTTTATGTTAGGCAGTGGGCAGTGTGGTTCATGCATGGGAGTTTGTTTATGATTTGTGAGCAGTAGGCAGTAGTTATCAGCGTCATGAGCCATTTGTTCCCAGTTAACAGTGAGCAATATGGCAAAAAGAGCAACAGAATTGATGAAGCTTAGACCCAATAAAACAGTAGTAATCCATGCATTGCAACCATGCAATTCAGCAAGCAGGGTTCGTTTTTGCATTTGGTTTCTACAGTATATTGTTGAAGGTGAGATCAATCTGCAGTTGACATTCTTTCATGATGAAGCATGGCTTCACTTGCAGGGATACATAAATACACAAAGTAATCACTACTGAAGTTCACAGAATTCACATCTGACCCACAAAGCCCCACTCCATGCAGTGAAAGTTGGTGTCTGGTGTGCTGTAAGTACAAGGATTGTTGGACCTGTGTTTCCTAACAAAACAATTGCGAGAGATATGTACAGGTTATTCTTGGGCAGTTCCTTTCAGAGTTAAAAGAAGAAGAAAGACTCCATGGGCAGTTTCAGCAAGACTCAGCTGCTGCCCACAGTGCATGCATGTCTATGCAGGCTTTGTCCTATGTCTTTGGGGACAGAATTATCAGCAGTGTTGTTTGGCCAGCACATTCACTCAATCTTGATCCTTGTGATTTTTTCTTCTGGATTGTTCGAAAGGCAAAGTTTACAGCAATTACCCCCCAATGGAAGAAGAACCAAAAGAAAACATTCATAGGTAAATTTCAAATATTCCTGCAGAATATCTTCAGAAGGTAAATCAGAACCTCTTTCTCCAGTGCGAGGAATGTCTGTGTGTAGAGGGACAGCATTTTCAACACCTCTTGTCATCTGTGAACAAAGGTAAGAACTTACCTTCATTCCAGATGTTATCGGCATGCAGAGTTATGAGCAAAATTCACTTGCACTTCATGGCCGGCGGTGCACCAGTTGCTGTGAAGCACAGAACTGTGAACCCATCAAGTTTATTAAAGAAGCACCTTGGACAGAGTAGTGTCCCAAAATGTGGGTGATCAAAGACTGGTTGCTCCTGCATGACAAGTGTCTGAGCAGTCTTTGCAGCATGATACTGTGGTTTTTCCCCATCTATTATATCATCCAGATTTTGCTTCATGAAATTTTTACGTCTGAAAATGAAGGACTAGCTGGAGTGCCATCACGAAAGGATGCAGCAGATGTGAAATACATTGTACAAGAAAGCTATGCAGATTTGAGATAAGAATTACAGAAGTTAAGTGACAAAAGAGGA